GCGAACTAGACAAACAGATGAGCAACTACTGTCATTGATTATCGTTCATTTGTTTGTCAGTTGATTAAAACCTGTTATTTAATATTAAACACGCTTAACTTCGTACAGTCAGTCTTAATGTAGTAAATGAATAATAAATCTTTAACATTTGATATCTGTTTAATAAACGAGTTTGAGATATATGTTAATATGAACTTTTTTGTTAGTGAACACATGCCTAAAATAGTGCCGTGCAATTACGAAACACTCTGTAGAACTATGAATAAAGGTATAAATTTTCTCACTTGAAATATCACTAATTATATTATTTAAAAATGTTGAAATTGGAGTTAGTCATTGTGTCAACTGAAAGGCTGATGCGATTGTAAGCCTCGTATTATGGACGCACTACAGATTTCCAATTTATGATGATAGAATTGGGTTTGAAATGTAGAAAAAAAAACAATTTTAATAAAGGGGCAATATTTATGTATGTACAAACAACAACAAAAAAAAAAATAAACATTCGGTCCAATATTAGTGAAAATGTATAAAGAATTTTTCTTTTCACAATCAACAATATCCATTATTAGAAAAATCTATTAATCTAAAATTCGGTCAAAAAAATTATGGAAGGCAGAATGTCAGTGCGATCATATGATAATGTAAATGCATTTTTTGCCTGAATTTTCATCTAGAACTCATTCATTTTCAATGAATTAAGGAACAGTATTCGTAGCACTGGCGGATCCACGGGAGAAGAAAGAAAAACATATTTTTTGTCATGTTTATTGTTTATTTCTGAAAAAAAATTGTCTCTTAAGCATTATTGTTACTGCATTTTTTAAATTTTTTTTTTAACGTCGTTCAAAGAACACTTCAACATTATTTTCTGAATTCTTTTTTCTTCTTCCAGAATCATTACCGTTATTTAAAAAAAAAATCCAATCCCTCTCTAAAATTAAGTCCTTGATCTACTAGCGATTAGTAGTGGTATAAATGTATGAATGCATTTGTTCAAGACTACCCACCTATTATAATAAACTATACCTAATATTGTAGTGGTATTACTTTCCTGAAGATAGCCCCGAAGAAGAGGTGGAGAAGAGTTGACTGCAGGAGGGTTGGCGGGAGACTGACACTGAAGCGACCCTCTACTTAAGTGGGGGATGTGTTAATACGCTGGTTTCACATGGCATTTTCGGGTTGCGCAGGCTAATTTCGATGGTTTCTAGGCCATATAGTAGTCTACATAATTAAAACATATTCTCTTGAATATGTGAAATTTTTATCAACAACATAGTTGGTATGGATAAAGTAATCGTTGGAATGAGAAATGAACACTTCCAATAAAATTCTTTAAACCGTAGTTCATATTTACTCATTTAGAGAGAATTTTAAACTGCATTGATAAAATAATTAAAAAAAAAAAAAAAAACTAGACTATAAATATCGGGTAATCCTATTAACTCTTAGGTAACGTAATTGCTTCTTTACTTGAAAAATCTACGAATATTTAAACTTGGCGTTTAAACTAGCCGAGGTGCCTTCCTCCTCTGAACAAAACTCAAGACATGGATGTTAACATGCCCCAGTATTATGGCTATATCGGGCGAAATATTTTTGCCAGGAGCTGTATTATGCAATAAGAGATACCCAACTACTACACCAAGTATAAATATTCGTAGATGTCAATTTCCCTAATAATCTACCAAGCTGTTTAAGTAGATATGCACTACGTTCCCTTTACATGGATAAGATTTCCCAATTTTTATAGAATTTAAAAAAAAATTAAAATAGTAGTTTTTTAATGTGAACCATTTTAGTTCATTAAGTATTGATAAAATATTGTTAAAACATCTGATCGTGATCTTAATGGAAATGACGAGGCTGACAAACTGGCCTGAATAGGTTCTGGAATGATCCGACCAGTTATTCTTTTGATCATAGACTCAACTAAAACAATAATAAAACAGACCTTCGAAAGTAGAAGGAGAAATATGCGCAAAAAATTAAAGGGAAGCGATATAGTGGATTCCTGGAAGAAAATGGCAGGATCCCAAGATACCTTCCTAATGAGTTATCGTGCTTTAAAATGATTACAGGGCATGATTTCTTGCAGAAGCGCCTCCACCGCATCGGTATAAAAGATAGCCGACCTGTCCTCTATGCTCTTTGGACAGTATTATAAGAGAACATCTTGACACAAGCCCTGTATTATAGAGCATAAGATGTGCTTTCAGTGAAACGGACAATTCTTTTGGCAGGAGAGCGAAATTATATTGGAATTCAAAATTAAGCACCGCTGATCAAGCAGGCGTTATTCAAGCATTGTCAAAAAAGTCTTATACGTGGTATGTTAAGAAACTAACAAAAATTTGAAAGTACTTAAAATATTTCTTTCAGTATTTTAAATTCAAATATACACGAGATATCACGCGGTCATTTGAATTATGCAACTGATGGACTATAGAAATGTCAGATCTGACTTTGGTCTACATGAAAAGCATGATTGGATAAAATGGCTTGAAGATGGCTTACCGGCCGAAACGTAGCTATGTAAATTGAAATAAATGTGGTGAAGAAATAAAAACAGCCTGATTTTATAATATTAGAACATTTTCACCTAAAACAAGCGCATATACATTTTTTACAATAATTTCTTCTTGTTTTGAGGTTAAGTTTTTTAAAACATTCACGAAATCTCACCAAATAATATGAAACATCATACTTAAAATTGGTCCAGCCGTTTGTTCAGAAAACCTGACAAATCTGTCAGCGGAAAATCTAACACTTTAAAATTCTCGAATCTATGCGTTTCGGCCTGGGTAGGTGAGAATTTATTTCGTGGCGGAACCACGGAATTAATCTCGACCTTCTCACTCTGGTTAAAATAAGTTTAGTTAAACCCTCTATAACAGCCCCTCTCTCCATACTCTAGAAATAGCGAGGGAGGGATATCCATAAAAAAACCAAAAAAAAAACCCAAACATGCTCAGAGATGGATAAATGTTACTCTGAGTACTGAATACCAAGCAAGTATTTTACTCGGATACTGACCTTTTTTTGGTATCAAATAATTTAACTTTTAATCTACACACCCAAAATGTGAAAATAACGAGGTTGTATAGGTCAAATGATTCCATATTTTTATAGGCCACCTTTTTTATCGATTTTGTGGTCGAATTATCTTACGATCCAAGTGGAAAGCAAATGGGTATATACAAGTTTTTATTACATAATTAAATAGACAAAGCTTGCCGATCTCCACATTGAATATGCCCCAATTCCAAGAGTTTTCGTAAATAAAATAGTTGTAGCTACTACGATGAGATGAAGCTATTTAAGAAGTTTCAGGCGGATGTTAATAATTTGATAAAAAGAGGTCTGTACCACGGACTAAAACATAAAATTACGAGTTCAAGTCCCAGTTGAAGGGGCCTTATAAATGTGGTATTAATCCCCCGCTCTCTCCCATGGCCAGAGAAAAACTCAGTATAACTGACCAGGTAGAAGAGAAAAAAAGTTATGAATGAATTTTATTATTTAGACATGTCCCCAATATTTGCAAAAGACTAGCTGTAAAACTTCACGGAATGGGAAAGGTCAATTGAACTGGCAGGAATTTTTAATGAAAATGGTTTGCGATGGTTGAACCTCATTTAATGTTTCTAAAAATACAGGAATAGCTCACAAATGGTCGTTTTGTAGATTTTGAATGGTTTTAAATTTAAACTACTATTCAGATTTTAACTTAATATGTTATTTTACTGCTCATGATTTGAACCTGGCAGTCTGAAAACACATTATTAGTCTCGTGAGGAATCGGATATTTTCGAAAGAACTTTTAAAACATCCTCCTTTCACGTACATATGGACTTGATATAATTTAATTTTAAATTTAAAGTATTAGAATTCAGTAGTATTATCCTATGAATACTACTACTGAATTCTAAGTTTCGCTTATTTGGAATATTTTTTATGGAAATAAAGAAATCATTTCAATTGCCTCCATGTACACTATGGTACGTTAATATAAATCCAGCTGAGTATGATTATAAGCGTATGAGACAGAGGATCCAGCAATCTTTAATAATGAAAAAATAATTATAATTTTCAAAATACTGGATTGTCCTTAGTTGCGACAAAATGTAATATAATTCATTAAAAAAATACCGTATTACTGTCAGTATCTAAGTTTTTATTACCTTCTTTTTTTTTTTTTTTTAGAAAAGAAGCTTTACATTCACCGTTACAATAAAATTAAATTAATATATTGAATAAGGTTTTATAGGAGAAAGTTTAAATGATTTATTATCGTATGGGATCAGTTGAAAAAATAATTATAATTTTCAAAATACTGGATTGTCCTTAGTTGCGACAAAATGTAATATAATTCATTAAAAAAATACTGTATTACTGTCAGTATATGTCGGCCATAGACATTCGGCGCCCCCGGTCAATGAAGTCATTTCTCCTTCCCTTTAAAAAAATAAATTTATATTTTCAGCTATTTTACACAAGGGGGCGGGGTGGCCGAATGGGCTAAAGCGCGTGCACAGACCGCGAGTTGCCTGGCAACCGGATTACAGATTTGATAAGATTTAAAAAATACGAGTTCGCGTCCCGGTGCCGGAGGGGATTTTAGAATTCCCCGCCCTCACCCCCCGGCACGGGAAAATCCCGTATAGCCTAAAAGGCGAGGTAGGAAAGAAAAAAAAAATAAATAAAAAGCTATTTTACACAATATAATGTTTGACTTTTATTTCATTCAAGATTTCTCTAATACAGTTGCATTGTTGTTAGACTAAATTTAGTTATTTTAATACATTTTGTATTTTTTTTCATTTCTAACAAGTGGCGAGCGCCCCTAAGGATCGGCCAGCGCCCCCAAAGGGCTCCCTTCTAGGTTGGTGCCCAGGGGCAACTGCCCTAGTTGCTCCACTCTAAGGCCGGCACTGTATGGGATAAATATGGGACCATGTCTGGAATGACAATAATAATAAAAAAAAAATAAAACCTTAATGTACTAAGATTTATTTATCTCCTTTTTTAACCGTAACACAATAGCTGTGGAAATTGTTACAATTAACGAATAAAATAGAGCAGTTTTGACAGTAATGAATCCAAAAAACACTCCGTAGGCGCTAAGTATGATGAAGGCGAAGACGATAGGAAGGATGGTGATGGTGTTGCCAACTTTTTCTTTGTCGCCCATATCGTGGATAACCGAAAGGAAACCTCCTCCGACTGTGGTCGTCTGGTCACTATAGCCGTCGAAAGACATCGCCTGCAAACCAAAAAATAATAAATTATATTTTTCTAATGAATTATAGTGTGATAGTAATCACTTGTATTGAAATAACTCGGCTAATTAATACATACTAGTGAATAATTATTTAAATAGAATTACTGAATTAGGTAAATATATAATTTTTAGTTGGGAGAGATCATTCTAAATTAAGATTGATGTTGGAATACAGCAATTTAGAGAAAATCTAATACTTTCATAGGCGTCATAACAACTTTGAGACTCTCATCGACGCTGCTTGTATGAAGCTCAAATGGTTTGGGAACTGAGTGCTTTAAATCGAATTTATTGGCCATGACTATTTCCAGAAAGAGTCTTTAAAAATGACATTTTTCGATATTGTTTATTTATTATCAAGACTGCCAAGGCATACACTACCGTATGGAAAAGCATATACCTATCCATCAAGATATGAATATGGATCATAGAAAGTTATAAATGTGGGTTTGCAGATTGAAAATATTAGAGTGACCTCAGAATGAGAGAGAAATATTGGCGTGTCTATGGAAAATTTGTAAGGTATCGAACTATTTAAAATAGATTATCGGTGACATTATAATAGGCAAGGAATTTATGAAATAATTTCATAGATACAATAACTATAGATAATTTCATCAATTATAACGATCATATTTTCATAAGATGATTCAATATTTGAATTTCTCCTACCAAATGAATGATAATTTATTCAAATTTATTTGCAAGTATTGAATATTTCCTTAGTGTCATTTATTTGTAGGTATATTTTGAACAACCGGGTTTTTAAAAACTTTTTTTTCCCAATAAAAGCGATAAATAGTCAGGACGTAGTCATTTTTAAGGTTTTTGTTGGTGCTGACCTTTGAAACCAAGCATGCGGGTCATCATGAGGGCATGTTTCGAGCACTGAAGATGTTCATGTACGCAGTATTTTCCATTGTATTTCCCTCATGACCGTCTTAACCACCTTTGCCTATCTTCGGCTAGTGCTTTCCAGTTATTTGCGTGTGGCTCTACAGCATCTGTTCTAGGTTGTTGGCCTTACAATTTTTTACTATTGAGGGATTCATTGTCTTGTATAGGCTTCCTGATGGATACTTCTTTCTAGAGCAAGAGTGTCCATCCTCTCCATGGTCGATGGCGCAAGAACCTACACCCCCCTTCTCCCAAGATATTGTATTGCACACCTTTCTTAAAAACAGCTAGCAAGGTAGAATTAAAAAAATCGTAGATCATATATAAATAAACACTTGCTGCGGTCAGTTCCATGTGTTTCCCTTGTCCATTAGTCCGAAAATTTATAACTCTGTCGAAATTTGCCGCCCGTCAAAATATGCCCCCGTTTAAATTTTGATGGCGCAACATACGCCATGAAACCCACTTCTGGGCATCTCTAATCTAGAGTGTTCAAGTCTAGCAGGAGCATGTCAAAATTGGTTTAATGGTATCCAACACCCTTTATTTGAGATCTATAAAGATTTATCGGGATGCCTTTGAAAGAGAGAAAAGACTGCTTTTGCTCTTGAAATACGCTGGTCAGATGCTGACTGTTGGTCATTCATTGATACTGATCCGGTTAAGCAGGATATTGATTATTATCTAGTAGGCAACAGGAAAGACTGCTATGCCTCTGTAATTATTACGCTCCTGCATGGAGTCCTTCATGATAAATATATAATATGTGTATATATAAAGCTTTTTTTTATTTTATTTTTTTTTTAAACTTTTATTGTGATTTTTACAACTGTATTAGTATGAATACATCTAGTAAATTTGTACAGAGAAATATTATTACATGAAACACGCTTGTTGAGAAACTACCCCCTGGTAGCACTCTAATAATTTGTCTACATGAGAAGAACACGAGGCCATCTTCTTTTCAGACGCCTCGGAGGGTTATCAGGAATCGAAGAGGAAGCAAGGTTAGAAACAAGAGGATTCGGATGGTTATGAAGTTTATTATGGAAGAATAGGTATCTGGATTTGGCCAAATCGGAAACATATGGAACATTGAGGTATATAAAGCTTTAAATAGGGATTCTTTATGTAGATGAGTAATTATCAAATTTTTGAACAGTTTTTATCTTCATGAAAATAAAACTGATTTGTAATTACGAAATGTGTTTTTGATGAATATGAAACTAGTTTTTATTGTTGATTGTAAACTATTTTTAGATGTATTTTTATTTTGGTAGGTTTATTTTATTGACATGCCAGGTTATAAATCTCAAACTGCTTTCAGATTCTTAGTCGTATTTTTTTTTTTTCGAAAATATCTGATAAATTAAATTATAAAAAAAAATTATAAAATATTTGAAAAGATATTCAGCAGTTCATTTCAAATATTTATTCAATTCCAGGTAAGGATTAATGAAATTATTAACTTACTTTCCACCTTTTTTTCAGACAAAAATAAGGGGGAAATGACTTCCCTGGTCGCTCAAGCTTTTATATCGTTTCCTTTTCCCATCGAAAAAAAAATCGATACCTTTTTTGTTTTTATCGAATTGACCGAAATCGTGCATAGAATTAAATTTTGTATTATCAATAAATCAGGAAATTGGAAAATAGAAAACTGACATCGCAGTATGTATTTAGGTCGACCTGATAACATGGAATAGGAAAGGGATTCCTGGAGTGAATGAGTGTGGGTATATATTACGATAAATTTAAAATCATGCATTTTTGTTTGCATGAATGATAACATTTGTTCAAGATGCATTTAAAAATTAGTAATACTTTCGAAAAATTAAACAGTACAACGGATCACATATTTGTGTATGACTGAATAAAAATAGTAAAAAATATAAACGACGAACTAAAACTTTTTTATTCTTGTATGAGTTATTTTCTATAACATCCCTTCAATTGTGATTGCAGATAAAGAGTGAACTCATGTGGCACTAATTGTAAGTTGAAACTAACGTTTTATTTTTTCCTTACCATCAGATATATGCATACATTACAAGGTGACAAAACCATTTTGTATTATATAAGTGTATATTTTAAAATATTTTGTAAATAAACTAAATGTTGGTCATCTAATATAACATAATTGTTCTATAATATATTATAATATAATAGTTTTGGACAAGCTATTGTAACGCAGCTGTTGTAGAGTACATTACTGCTTGAAGATATACAAAACATTATTTTATTAGTTCATCTTATTCCAGATCTCATGTAGAAGACAACTATTGATTTATTAACCTCATACCTATTTTAAGCATATATGTCTTTAATAGGGTGAAAAATATACTCTTTCAATACAGACGACGTAGATAACATACGCAGAGCTATGTGTTGGGTGGATATTATATAAGAGGTATAGCTCAGCTAGGACAAGAATTAATGTCTGAACCTAAGTTTCACTTTGCTAATGATAGATTTTAAACTAATAATTTGGATCATTTCACAAGTTTGCCAAATACGAGAGTTTCATTATACTAGTCACTAAATTAGAACTGGAGCAAAGGTTTTGCAAAAATGTATTGTGGGCTCCAGAAACAGCTAGACTATCATAGAAAACATGCCCTAAATATTACGATAAAAGAACCGGTTATAATAGGTGCAATCTAGCTAAGAGCTGAGAAATATCTGAAAGTGACACAACGTTGAATTGGCTAGATTCAAAAGTGTGTTAAGGAAAGACAAATTTTACATAGCCAAAATAATATGAAAATGTACCCATAATTAGTAATCAATGGTAAAATAAAAAAATTGGTGACATAGGGGCATATTATTTTACCAATGCAACAATCTGTAATAAGATTGATTGACATTTTGATAGATGACACGTTGGGTAAGTATATATTACAAAACAGATAGAAATCAAGAGTTGACTACTCAAGGTATCATGCTAGTTATATTTTAATCCATGCCGTGTACAGGAAAAGTGGACTTCATTGCCAATTAGAAGCTAAATAAAAAAATAATAAAAAAAGCGTGGGGCATTAAATGTAATCGAGTTATGTGTTAGCAAATAAATCGTATCGTCCTATCACAAAATGTCACTAAGAACATTTTTGATGATGCGGTAAGTTTAAGAACTTTTTGTGAATTTATGTCGGCAAAAAAAACAACAAAAAAACAGCGAGTTCACTAAAATGTTACACACTCTTTTATTCACCAAATATAGTTACAACAAGTGCACAATATTCTGGTTTTATAAAGAGAAAATTTATCAAAATTCATTGTGATTTAAGATTTTGAAATGTCACTTAATGAAATTTTGCAGTAAACCGACGATATATCAAATCCAGGATGATAGGAGCATCATTCTAACAGTTCAATATTAGATTAACTATAATGAACTATCAGTTAAAATAAAAAATGCCTGATAGATGCTGGTAATTTAACGGAAAAAAATTGGCCTCTTTGAAAAACAAAACAAAATTAGGATCCTTACTAATTATAGTGTAAAGAATAAATTTGGGCATCATTCATATGTTGACAGCACTGATGTACGTTACCTTCGGAATAAAAAAAAATATGGCCCACCATTTCGAAACAATATCTTGCCGCCCTTGAACTTTTCCTCTCCGTGGGATCGCTTAGGAAATCTATAACAGACTTGGGCTATATTTTAAATTATAAAATTGAATACATTTTACATTTAAAAAAATATAAAATACATTTAATGATTAAAATATAAAAATATATCTTATGTTTTATTTTGAATACACAAAATAAATTCTCAAACTAAAGAGATTCCCTTGAATTATTGTAGGCTTGATCGTTTGAACGTTTTCTTTCATGTACATAATTAACAAACACGCTACTGCGTGTTACACTCCTTAGACATAGAATAAAAACAGCAACCCAATTGGGATAATTATCAGTATATTATGGATTTATGCACGTCAGCCTTCTTAATAACCCGATGTAACGATCCAAAGACATTTTGGTTTGTAAAACATGGCGTAAAACATTACCGAAAATTTGGTGTTAATTGTAACTTAAGAAATAACCATAATTATAAACAAACCATCCACGCG